CTCTCTCTCTCTCTCTCTCTCTCTCTCTCTCTCTCTCTCTCTCTCTCTCTCTCTCTCTCTCTCTCTCTTTCTTCTCCTCGCAGTTTCTTTCTCTCTTCTTCTGCCGACCGGCACGGTGGGGCCCCTGGCACGCCATCGCTTCATTTAAAATGCAAATTCGTCCGGGTGGCGTGAACCACGGCGGCCCGAATTATTCTAATTACCCGCCCCCCTCTCGGTCCCTCTCTCACCCGCGCCACTGACCGATGCTCCTAACCGCGTTGTGTGCTCTCGAAAGCTTATCCGCTCTTCGACCGCTCCCCCCGACGCTCGAAATTCGAAATATCCGAAAGTCTCTCCTGCGAGAGTCACGACGAGTCGCTTGGTAGCGACGCGAACCAGCCGGCAAGCGAGCGTACGAACGCAATTGCGCAATTGTTTTTTCGTGTCGTTCATTTGATAAGTCGGCCGAGCTCAACCTTGAACATTGTTGCGGATAAAGCGCACGTAATGCGCTCGCGTACCTTGAGATATCACGTACGTTCGTAATTCATTAAACGAATATCAAATTAAAACGCGGCCTCGAAATGGTCAGAGAAACTACCAACAGAGAAAATGCGATCCCTTCCCGCGAATCACAGCGCGTACTCACTTTACGCCCTTCACGGGGGTGGACGCCAATTTTCGCTTTGCCCGTCCAGACGACGTAAGCGACACAGGGAATCCGCGACTAATAAAACTATTCTTAATTGGAATACACGGGGTAATTAGATTCAGAAGCGCCGGGAAGAGAGGCGCCGGCGACGCGAGAAAAGGTATTATACCGATTCGCACGGTAGCCGCCTCGGGTGTACGCATAAACGTGCAAAGTGTGCTGGAAACGAGCGTAGATTATCGCGGGTAACGTGTTCACGATCCGAGCGAGATGTCGTGCGCATGTAGGCCTAATATATTCAGATTTTTATGGCTAGTGGCGTATCGGTGATACGGCAGTCGGTCCACCCCCCGGGCCCCTCCGCGGGCCCCCTCTCCTCCTCCTCCTCCTCCTCCTCCTCCTCCCTCGTTCGACGTCCCCCTCGGTCACCGCGCTGCGGCGAAGCCTTCTCTCCACGTACCACTTAAAGCGCGGGGTAGCCTAATGAATAAACAAAAACTAGATTTCGCTTAGGGCTTACACGTAAAAGCGTGACCTTACTGGCGATTTACCGCGGCGCGGCGGTTCTCAAATCGATCCGTTCTTCTCGTCAGCGGAAAACGCGAGCCGTAGCGAACGCGAGTCCGCAAATCGATAGGAAATGACCGATCGACGCGTTTCACCTTAGTCGCCACGTTTCTCCGGCAACTACTCACTTCTGTTCCTTCCTTAGTGCGCACTCGCGGCGCGAGCTCTTTCTCTCTCTTTACGTCCACGAAAGAGCAGAATTTTTATCGAGTAGAATTTGGTCCTCTATCGAGACCTAACACTTGCGATCAGTGAGGAAAAGTTCACGAAAAAAGAAAATTTGATTATAGCAAATATCTGAGATATAAACAAATCAGTATTTTGCTTAAAGTTGGCAGAAACTTCCGTTCAGCAAGATCTAATCAATCAGATTTCTTGTTACGTGTAGATTTGACGGAAAGTATTAGACTTGTATTTTATGTCGTGGACGATATAGTGGACGAGAAAGAGAGGTTGAGCAAGTGTCGAGCACGAGTGCAAGGCGTGTGTTTGCACGCGCGGACCGACGGGGAAGGCGGGAGAGGCGGGACACGTGTTCGCGAGAGTAACATCGGCAAAACACGTGGCATGCGAGAAACGCGGCGCTCGCTCGCCGAGGCCGGGTTCGTTTGATTTATAATAATCGCTCAATCCTCATTACGGGAGGCTTCATCCCGCGGAACTCTCGGGACGCGGACCGATGAAACTGCCAGCCGAGCGCCAAAGTTGAGCCAAAAGTAATACCGCTCCGCGACAAAAAGCTCACGCATTCCTCGCCGTTACCGTCGTCGTCGTCGTCGTCGTCGTCACCGCCGCCCCGATCGGACAACGATCGTCTTACCGCCTGTACCTTTAACGAGCACAATTTAACACCTTGAAATCGCTCCGCGCGCGCGTGGCGGGATTTACTGTCCGCCCTTCTCGAGAGAGCGATACACCTGCAATCCACTTTTTCCGCGGCGAATCGGAGACGCGTCATTCAGCGTGGATCTCTTCGGATGCTCTACTACGAATCTTTATGGACTCATCGTACGTGAGAGCTTTCTTAACCGATATACCTGTGGGAAGAAGAAAACACGCAGAAAAGAGCCGACGAAGAGAGAGAAACGAGAAAATAGCTGGGAGCTATTCAGCCAAGAGCTGGACACACATCAAAAGGATAACAGTGCTCTCGATCGCGAGGCCATTTAAATAAGCAGTCTCGCGAGGACACGACTGCATGGGCGATTAGAATGGCGGAGAAATGAGTTTTCATTGGGGCACCGTAGCGCGAACGCGCGCGCGGCCATTTCGAGTATGGATACCGCGTAACGTATGTAATAGTTACATCAGATTAGAGCTCGCGGGGGCGAGCGTGTAACCAGACTTAATGCGGGGGTAGGCATCGAGTCGCAAGGGGTGGATCGCACTTATTACACGTATATGTCGGAACACGTCGTCGTGGTGTGTGTTACCCGGACACACATACACACGCGCGCGGCGGGAAGCAAGGGTAACGACGAGGTAAGGAGTCGGTGGTCGCGCAAGGGCGGGCAAGGGGTGCTTTGGTAATCGTGCATTAATTTGCATCACAAAGTACACGCCACCCGCCACGCTACGCACGCATTCCACGTAGTTTTCCGCTCTCCTTCGCTCTCCGTCTCGCCTCCGCCTCGTGACCGGCGCGAGTTCTCAAATCGCGATTTCTTCCGTTTTCCTCTTCGCGCGCTCACAGGGGGAACGGAGGGGTGCCTCAGGTCGAGAAGGCATATCGAGGGAGGATCAATCGATCGATCGAAGACGCGATACCCCCTGTGGAGCGACGATTCGCAGAAAGCAACTCGAGTCTCGAGAAATAGAGCGCGGGTGAAGTAATTAACGCGACCGTAACGACACGGGAACCGAAAATTGAAGACGACGTCATCGTCGTCATCGTCGTCATTGTCGTAGTACGACACGGTTCGGGGGCGATCTCGGGCTCGGGCGATTCGTTCGGGAATGAGAGTCACGGTTGGCTACCGGCAATATTTTGCCGCGCTTTGGCTTATCGGTACAGTTGCATATTTAAGGGTTGCCATGTCAAGCGTCAAGCGCGCCCTTTGAATACATTTAAATTCATTAACGGCGAAGGCTATACTCCCGCGCTCTATAATACGTCGCATGGCGCAAACACGCACGCACACACACGACGTGTGTGTGTACACGTGCGCGATACGTACGTCAGTTTCGCGGGATATCCAGCACGATGAGCGCGCTATGCCTCGTTTCATCGTTTATTACAATGCTCACGCGCCTTTTGGCATTCGTCGCTCGAACCTCTGAAGAGAATGTATATTTGCTTCTTCTGTTTCAGACACACACCGCACATCTGATCGTCCGTCATCATGCCGCACACCGGTGAGTACGATCTTTTCTCTTTTTTCTACCGATCCCAAAGGCGATCCTGCGACTCGATCTTCCCGTCTCTCTTCTTCTCTCTCTCGCCCCCTCACGTTCCCGTCTCGATCTCGGCGTCGTACACGTCGTATAACGTATGCAAATTTTTCCGCGCGAGAGACATCGCGCCGACGTCGTGGCCGTGGCGAGCGACGGCCAGTTTGCTAAATAGCCAATCTCGCGATTCGCCCGTGAGAATTATAGCTTCGCCCGGCCGCTTCCTGATTTATGCAAGGGGGGAATGTAACACGTCGTTATGGTTTCCTTGGGACGTTGGAGCGGCACGGGGTCAGCTACCGTCGGCGAGATCACAGGACGACTCTTCCGCGCAATCGGCAGTAAAAATTAAAATTTCTCCCTTCTTCCTTCCCTCGCGCTACGCTGCGTACGCTCTTTTTCTCTCTTTCTCTCTTTCTTGCGCTCTCATCCGTCCACCTCTCGAGGCTGGCTCGAGACGCAGCGGAGGCTAAATTACGATTTGGAAGGTAGTTTGACAGTAATTAACGAAGAATTTTATACCGTGGATCGAACGTCGAGATCTATGGGCCTGTTATTAAACGAGTTTAATTACAATCTCCAAGTCCTCCCCTCCCACCACACAGTCTGTCTCCCTTCGCCTCCCCCTGTTTGGCCGTGCGCGTTGGCCTAATACCCGTGTAAAAATATATTCCGCTCGGATCGAGCAGCTCGATCGGTCTTTCCTTCTTCCGACTGCACTCTCCGGACTGTCTGTGATTTTCGAAATCGGGGAAAGTATTCCGAGACGTTTCTCAGCCACGTGGAGCGCGGCCGGTGCTCGCGGGTCAACCGGTTGGCCGGTCGTAAACACTTGCGCCCGCCACACCGCGAATTCGTCGCGGGTCGAATCGCGGTGAGAATATTCCCGGACGGCGAGATGATCGACCTTTTCTCTCAAAGTGATCAGGCTCGTTCGTTAACGAGCGACATATTAACTAGCGGGCCAGCACGAGAGAGATTATATCCCCGGCGAGAGGGAACAGATGACTATCGCCAGCCCCGAAGCACACCTCGCAAATTCAATGTTGTCTCTTGATCATCCCCGAAGTTCATGTTACATATGTTGCCTCCTAATTATCACCGTGCTCGAGACTCGCGGGAATAATCGTCCAAACGATAAACGCTTAATAACAGCCGCCGTAGTCGACTGTCTTAATACACTTCCATTCGGAGGGCCGGCCTCGTCGCGTGTGTGTCCTCTTAAGACAGATGTCGGAGCCGATACGCGAGACACGCTATTTGGCATTGATTCGGCCTGCATCACGATGATGCCCCGATATCCCGCGTGCTCTTGTCCGGCAAAGAGAAAGAGAGCAAGCGAGAGAAAAAAATCTGTTAGCATGGACGCGGATCGTGATTACAGGTAGGCAGGTGTAGAGTTTGGTTAGGGCCTAAATGGCCAGCGCGATAGCGATCGTTGTTGGCCGGCATTAGCCGAGCTAATTCTAAGCTAACCAGCATTATATCTCGAAAGATATCCCCTTCTTTATACGCTTGGCCCTCGAAGGGACGCTTGGTGCGCTCGCTTTGACACAGTTTGCATTCTGTCGGCAGAGGTAACATAAAAGGATTAAAGCGGAAAAAGAGAGAAATAAGTCGCCCTCTGCTTAATATTTCGCAACACAGACACTTTTCACTCATTTTATGAAGTGAGATTTCATTTCAAGACATTAGAGGATCAGAGACTAACAAGAACACAAATAATGGGGATTCGAAATTCACCTGAGAATTAGTCCGTTTTGGATCACACAAAATAATTACGGTCAATCCCATGTCGCGATCGAGACGATGAGAAGTTTTTTTTTAAGTGAGGCATCTCACTTCCTCGGGATTATTAGAGTGCCTTAATGAACCGCGTACGCTGACTAACTTGAATCGTTGACGGGTCAGGAGTCAAGGTGAAAACGCATAAATTCCAAGGAAAAGTGTCGAAATCTTTCTACACAGCCGGCCACAACCTCTCTGCGAAATTATGTACAAGTTCCGGCTCTCTTCGGGCTAATAAAATCTCTTCAGCTCTCATTAGCGGAGCCAATGGTTTCACCGAATGAATTTGTGGCTCAAATCGGGTCGATGCGAGAATATATCTTCTCGTTATGATATAATCATATTATCACATAGATATCTCTTGGCGCGAAACGGTATCTCCTCAATAGACATCTATCCGACCAAACATGATCCGCATCCGATTCGTCGTTTACGAGAAGCGAACTGTGGACTTTATCGCGCTTTTCACTGCGATGGCGACTTTAACGCCCCGTGCCGTTATTAGTGATAGCGGTTACCTCATCCGCGGTAATATTCGCGCGTAAATCGCACATTCCCGAGCAACCCCTTTTCCAATTCCGCTCCGCCGCGTTTCACCGTTTCGCGGATCGTTTCCGGCACTCTGCTTTTCACGTGTGCGCTTTTTTGTCGCACGTAAACGTGAGTCGCCCGTGGCGACTTACGGCAGCCCGTCAGAGGTGCACCGTTAACGCGCGGCTCCATTATTTCGTGGGATTCGCCGGCAGATTTGCACTTAGATAAGGCACCATTTTGGCCGGTTTTTGCCGTAATAATAATTTGATGGCCCGCTGCTGCTCGCGCGACGCTCGCGTCGCATCCGTCTTCGCTCCGTCCGAAGCGTGTATAATTCTCACGGCGTGATCGTGAGCCACAGATTGGCGACTTCGAGGCCATATATAAATATATATATATATATATATATATAAAGGAATAATCAATTAATTACGCGAGAATTATATCGATGCTCGAGAAACCACCTGCGAAAAGTGGTCGCTTCGGAAGGATTAAGAAATTTATTCACTAGGTTTGTGTATCTTCAGCGGCGCGTCAAGAGAAAGTTACTCACATACTATAAATTCACAAGTTATCAACAGAAATTACGTTTTTATACATTTATTTCACTATTCAAATAATAAATGTTGATGTGAAACTAATTTCATGATACATCTAGTCACATTTTACGTTGCACAATGCTGCTCAAAACATAAAACGGAAGTTCTTCTCCCATTCTATGTCGCGTCTCCTAATGTGCAACACTAGCTTGAAGTATCCAGTAAATTGCGCGACACTGCAACTACGAGTGTGCTTTATTGCGATAAATGATACGTGTGAAATTTTTGTGTGATTTTAAGTATCTCGATTTAAATGAGTAAACCTCTTAATCGTCGTAGCCAAACGGTTCTCGATTCGATCTTCATTTCCGGCTATGGTGACCGTTATGGCGGCCGTTAATGAATAACGTACACGCGAAACACACCGCTCGCAATCTCACGGAAGCAATTTTTTCTCCGAAAATGAGTCTTACCGCGCGAGTGTGTCCTCTCCATCGCGATCAGGGGAACCCTCGAATTATCCAATAAAGGCAATCCGTCACGCCTTCGACTGACGGTCATTACTTGCAATCTCTCCAGCGCGTACGTGGCTGTTGCGAGCGCGCGTCGCGTAGGAGCGCACGTGAAATTAGAGAAGAGTATTTTCGCAATTTCGCTCGACGACTAATGACTCTTTTGCGCGCGGACCGCGCTCTCGCGCGAATAAACGGCGCTGATGAGCGCTCTAATTGGCAGATGATCACGATTTTTATTCGCCGGCTGTAAAAGCGTCTACATAAAGTGCAGAATTATAGCATCCCCGCGGTGACTTCGTAAAAATCGACATCGCGGAAATAATCGGCCGTCCGCGGCGTTCCCGCGTGCGTGGAAGCTCTCCGCCGGTGGAAACGAGAATCACAGGAGTAATCGCGACCGTCCGGTCTCTCAATTAGCCCCGTAAAACGCCGAATAAAGCGTGGATTCGTGGAATCGCGCCGTAATGGCAGCGGAAAAGATCGAGGGAAACCTTTTCTTTGGTCCAAACGAACACACGCGCGGAGATCGTTATTTGCGAGCCGGCGAGCCCGAACAGTCATCCTCGTCGTCGGCGTCAGTGATCGAAGTAATGACATAATTAGTCGGCGCGGATAATAATTAGCGATCGTCTTGGTACGCAGTCCGATGCATCCGGATCGGTCTACGTGAAGGCGCGTGGCTCGATTTATATAAGAGCCGCACGGCATTTACGGCTCGGTTCTTTTCGTCCTTTTGTGTTCCTTTCCGACGGCGAGAGAGGCTGGAGATCGTCGTTAGTAACGCCGCCTCGGAGAGCGCCTCTCGGCTTCGCTTGCGTCCGAAATAATCGTCGGGAATCGGATCGATTATCTCTCCCTGTTACGCGCCACGTCATTATTCGTTAAACTTGCGCACGATACAAACACAATTGTTTTTTTCCTTCCTTTTCTCTGTCAAGATGGCTCGAATAAACCATGTTTCTTGGAATTTTCAAGTGGAGCAAACGCAATCAAGTGTATATTTGCCGTCTAATTGGCAACTCGAGATATCAATTTTTCTTGTTCCCGTTTCTCTTTGTGCAATTCAGTCCTTTTTTCTCGTAACGATTAAGGGGGTACCATGCTTGAACACTTCACCGACAGTACACTGACTTCTTTTCCGCAAAGCTTATCTCGTATTGGTTGCGCAGATTTACAAATGCTTTTACACGATGAAAGTACGTGCAACATTGAATCGGAGCATTGCTCAATATGTGACGGAAACGACAAAAATTTCAAAATGAACACCTCGAGCTGTCAATTGGCTGTCACTTTGGTATTCCTTTGATCCGACACGATTGCAAAGATCTTTTGACACCTGTCACGATAGACACGTAGATTAGCAAAACTTAATTGTAGCGTTTGAAGATTGTGACGCGGCCAGAAGTCGTAAATTCGTTCATGCATCATAAGCGCTGCGTTAATAAAGATGTACCTTTTCTCGGGTTATAATTTCACGCTAGAAACGGCCGGAACGTAGTATCATGGGTTAACTCGCGGTCGAATACTAATCAGCCGAAATTTCCATGAAATTCCAAAGCGCGTAATGTAATTATGCCATTGAGTAGTCGTCAATGCAGACTACCGCGACGATTCGGTAATTAAGGACTGCTCGCGACGAGTGAGCTGGCGTGGATTTATGACGCGGAATTTCATTCTCGACGACGACGACGAACGGGCGAGTCGGATAATCGTTCCGCGGCCTTTCCCGGGCTGCCACCACCTCCGCGATGGCGACGGCGACTGTTTCTTCCCGGCGCGCGATGTGCCGTTCTGTGCAGGAGACAAACAGAAACTGTCGTATAACTCAGATTTTATTTGGGCCTTAATGTGCATCGGCTGCGGAATTGGCAAGCGATTCGTTTTCGACGGCGGAACATAAAATCGGTGATCAATTGGCGTTTTTATACGCGGCGCGACGAGCTCGGGAGGTCGCGCGGCTTACGCGAATAATCGATTTTATAAAATTTCCGACGGGAGTGTGCGCGCACGACGTGTTATTCCGACGTGTCGGATATCATACGCGCGACATGATCGCGCGTATAACGCATAAATAACTCGTCGCGTTGCGTGATTTAAGTCTACATTGTGCGCGCACCGGTGGATACAAATTGCCCGATTACACGTTTTATGAGCGCGAATACGAGGAGGGAAGAAAAAGAAGAAGAAGGAAAATGCAAAAACCGAAACCACGAGGTCTTAACGTTTGCCTCCAATTAACTTTTACAAGTCGCTGACGGGTCTAAACTTAATCCCGTCAGCTCTTCTCGCCACGGATACGTTATGCTAATCCTTACCGGTCCTGAAATCGCGACTTAATGTACTGTATTTTGAAGATGTCAGATTTTATTGGGAAGCAGAAAGTTGCTTGTGGTAAAATGTCACTCAGTCGCGCATTTGGGACTCGGAGAAACTCTTTGGCGCCTCGAGAAATAAATAAAGAAATGAACGAATGAATGAATGAAAGATGGGAAAGAAAACGATCAGCAAACGAACCGCGGGAAGAAATTCGCTCGGGGTCTTCCGCGGTGTGAAATCGACGCGCGGGGTAAACGCACGCGTTGAGAAAGGAGTGTTCGACGTAACAGTCCCTCGTACAGTCCCTGATGAACTTATTAATATCGGCACAATCTTCGTCGCGTAAAAGCGGCCGAGCGCGCTACCCTTTGCGGCGCATCAATTTCTAGACGAGCTTGAAGATGCAACACTCAGGTGGTCCTGCAGTCCCAGCAAGAATTATCCGGATACAAGACATTAACCAAGATGAATAAATAACTAACAAACACTTGGACATCGCGCATATGTCTTGTACTTGGTCAATATAAATGACAAAGACGGAATTTCTATTTGAACTGTTTGTGAAATTTAGCAAGCACATACGTGCGGGGATTTCGCTTCGGCCGCGCGATTTCCCACCTGGCATTTACCGGGGTATAATGACACATCTCCGTCCCCGAACGGAAAGGAGCCTAGGTCCTCTCACGGTGATATTCGTCGTGGCGATGTCATTAACGGCGGCCGGGAGGACCGAGCCGCCGCACCTGCCGCCGACCTTGCGACCGGACGATCGCGAAGCGCGCTATTAGCAGATTTCCGTCCGTCTTGTCCCTGTCGTGCAAAATCGATAAACATCGCGTCTGCCGCCGCGAAATCTTCGCTCGCCAATGGCACCCTCTTTATCGCGCCAGATCGTTAATTTCGTTTCATTAACACAATAACGATCTTGTGTTCCAGGACAAGCCGGGGTAAATCAATTGGGCGGCGTGTTTGTGAATGGCAGACCGTTGCCGGACTGCGTGCGTCAGAGGATCGTGCACCTCGCCCTGGGCGGCGTCAGGCCGTGCGACATTTCGCGGCAGCTACTTGTGTCCCACGGCTGTGTCTCTAAGATACTCACGAGATTCTACGAGACGGGAAGCATCCGGCCCGGCAGTATCGGCGGCAGTAAGACGAAGGTAGGAAGGTTTTGGATCTAAACATTTTCACAGCTTGATAGAAAAGCGGAAAACAGAAAGGCAGAAGCCGATCGGAACTCGCGCTGGTAAGAAAGCAGAAACTGTCGACTACCATCTGACCGTCAGTTCTGATTTGTTTCTACCAAGGTGTGAATTCTGTCTAAAAGGACGCCTTGTCGTGGAATATGCGAATAAGTAGGATTAGTACGGGGTATCAGGATTCTGAAAGAATAAAATCGAAATTCCAAAGGTGTATGTCGTCAATTCGAAGTCGACTGATTTGATCCTCCGTATACAGTCGTATTGTACAGTCATTTTTGGAATATGGATAGATAGGTAAATGTATTCAACTCACGCGGGGTTTGATATATGACCAAAAACGATTTGCGTTATTTGGAAATGTTCCCCTTTTACGAAAGTTACTGACAAAATATTCGAAACTCACGGACTTAATATTGTAGACGGATGGTCAGAGTCTAACCTTTTTGCTTCTTTCCCAACGACGATAACGCGAGAACGAGAATCCGTGCGTAAAACGCGCGATAATAGAGCGACCCAGAAAAGGGTTGATGTTGGTAGCTTCGCAAAAACATATGAAAACGAGCTGGTACGACGCGCGCGTTAACAGCGGATGGCACATCTCCCTCTGATGAGGGAAAAGGCAGAAACAACTTGGGGAGGTAGGTGAAGCCAGGGCGGCGCGGATTCGCGCGTTCGAGCATTCCTGATGTGATTTTAAGTAAGGGCTGCTTTCGACCGTGCGTGCAATTATCCAAACACCTTGCAGCGGCGCGGCATTTGCATAATTTCATGGCTTTGCACGGTTTTCTCTCGCTGGCACCGGCGGCTTAGCCTCGCCTCGCCTCGCACGCCACATCGTCGCCGTCGAACGGCGGCGTACCGGCGCTGCGGAAAATTAATCAAACCCGCATCGGTCGATATTACGTGTCGCGCAGGAAAGAAAGACGGACGGCTTAACGTCCGTGTCTGGCGATCCTTCACCCCGTTGATCAAGGATCTTCGTGGATCGTAATAAAGTCGCGAACGAACGTCGATGTCTTCGTCGTGCTTCGCGCTCGTCTGCGAAATTAACGCCGCGACGCGGCGGTGTTTATCACGCGGGTAATTCGCATCCCCCGCATCCGCTCCTCTCCGCGAAGAACGTCGTTTCGCCCCCTCGGGTGCACATCGCGCGGTGCTATCGCGGTATCGCGCTCTACACGATCCCGCTAATGACAATATAATTCCACGGTGCGTACGTCGGGAATTTCTTACGACGCGCGGCGCGCCACGCCGCGCTCCAGGAACACAGCGCGACTGTTGCCGCGCGGGTTTCGGCTTAATGAATTTATTTTAATAACGCCGCGTCTCGGCGTCCGTCGACCTTCCTCTCTATGCGAGTTGCGAGTTCGAGAACTCGATTGCCCGGAGAGAAAGAGTTATAGAGAGAAAGGGGGAGAGGGGAGAAACACAGAGAAAGAGGGAGCGAGAGAGAGAGAGAGAGAGAGAGTTGGCCCGGCTCTCTCATATAGGAACCCTGAAGAGGGCATTTAAATTCCGGCTGTGTGGCACGGGAGGCCGATTACGCGCGCATGTAAACGATAGTCATCATCCGCCATTACAGCGTTCGGTTTTATTTTGCGTATGTCAAAATAGTCTCGCGGCGAAATAATGGTCGCCGCGCTTAATTCGGCCCGGTCCCATTGCTTTTTTTGACATCCTTTGTAACGTCTCTCATCCTGCCCCCACTCTCTCTTTCCCCCTCTGCGCCGGGCGACTTTTGTTTGCGCTTTTTCATTTGTCACAAAGCGACGGTAGTAACCTTTGGCAATTTGAGCGAAGAATTATAGCGAAGAAGGTCTCTCTCTCTCTCTCTCTCTCTCTCTCTCTCTCTCTCTCTCTCTCTCATCTTTTTCGATAAGTGAACACGTACAAAAGATCGCTCTCCGCGCCTTGCACGCGCAACCCGCACCGTGCAACCCGCCCACCGTCCTCCGTAACAAAGGATCTCTCCGGGAGGGGCAGGTCGTTAGATATCATCCCCGGGCCCCGCGGAGCACGTCACTGTCCGTCTGTAAGTAAGGCTTTTACAGCGATTTAAAATTACGCCGATAATTAAATAATGGCTACTAGGTAAACCCCTGCCCTCTGCCTCTCTTGATTGCGCGGCAGTATTAACTCGGCGCGTATCAACGTCGAGGTCCTCCCGACACCGGCATTTAACCGCCCCTTCTCCTTTTTCTTTCCATCACGTCGATTTCCATCAGTGAGAGAGACGTTCCGATTTTCCTGCTGAGTAACGAAAGATGAACGGCGCCCTGTCAAGATAACGCTGCCCTCCATTTTGAGTCTGTTATTACGACTTTCCGCGCTCTCTTTCTCTCGGCGCACCCTCGCCCGCAATGTTGCTCCCTTTAGATGCTCCGTAGATGATCTTTGTCTCTCTCTCTCTCTCTCTCTCTCTCTCTCTCTCTCTCTCTC